CAACAAGCCGATAACCCGTACAAAATGTGTTTGTTGACAAACAGCTAGAAAACGGTCAGAAACCAACACTGGCGTCCAAGAGAAGGAGAGACCTGATTCTTTGCTGACGTCCTGGTAAACATTTTACTTACGCTGTGAGCAAAAGCGGACAAACAATTTATTGCATATAATACCATCTAGTTAAAAGTAGCAGAAGTGCTCTATGCTACCACTGGCATTTACTTTCCCTCACTATCGATTTATTTTGTGCATTGACTTCGTCGATTACAAAAAGGAGTTCGACAACAGTCGAGCTCGCCGCGATGTGGAAATTACTGGCAGAACAGGGTATATGGCAGGCACACGGTATATCAGTCGGCTGAAAAAAGCGAACTCTGAATTGATTATGAATATCGCCTTTCTGGACTCTTACAAGCGGGTGCACGCTGACGTTCTATTAACTTGGATGTCCAACAGCACGTTTCTACATCGCACCTGTTGAAACGAGGCGGATTTCAAAAGTCAGTTTTCTAGCTTATGCAAACAGTGCCTCAACCAACATTAACGCATCCATACAAACCTAACTAACTACTGTAGGTTCTTTGTAGCGAAACGCGTTGGCCGCCACCTGTTGCACGTCGTGCCCTGAATCATGAATCGCTCAACCACCTTTCAATGTACCATTAGGAAAGGCAATGAACTGGATGGGCGTGAGACTAAATGAGCTGCGAATATTATGTACGAACAGTGGTTCTTGAGACACCTGTTTTTTACGAATCTCTGCGATGGACGATAAAACTGATCGCCTGTCAAGTTCAGTTTGAGCTGATACGGTGTCCAGTGGAAACGTCAACCAGAAAGGGGAACTCGAAGACATAATGCATGCAATTTTGTGCAAGTAAATTTCATCACGAAAGCTCTTTGACGTATGGTTCTTCTCTGATGGTCACGTGAACGACTTAAGCATCCCTTAAATGGAATCATATTGGGGCAAGATATCTCACGCTCCCAACAAGAGCTTACTTGATGATCCGTCCAATAAGGTTCCAGGTCCTGCTGAGGG